GTATATCCAACTCAATTATTCGCAATGATTCTTCTCCCCGGTTAGCGATTTGCAAAAAACCAACATAGTTTATAAATTCAAGTGCCCTTTGGGAGATTGTATCTCCAACGAATTAATATTTATGTTGGTCACACCACAAACTCGCTTTCATGACGCTTGACACTACATTTGAATGATAACATTTTTAGGCATTTAAAACAACATGCCTGTCCGCATACACAATTCCGGAAAATCCTCGTTGAAAACACAACTATACTTAAACATGAAAACAATAAACAAAAACTAAAAATTCTTGAACCTATATACATAAAACAGTTGAAATTTAACCTGAACAAAATGAACTATGAAATCTCCACAAATATTATTAAATGCTTCTAATTGATAACAGAAAGCATTGGTTTATACGAACGGCTTCCCATACTTAATACTTCTCGAATTCACTCTCGCGTGGTCATGTGTCCCGTCATGAGCTGCGATGCGATTTTCGCTTCCAGCGTATTATATGCACGAGTTTGTCGTTGCTTGGAAATCTTCCATGTAAACAGAAACAGACTATCATCATTGTCTTGTCCATGTATCGCTTAATATATTGTAATGTAATTGTCATCTTTAATAATGGCTTATGTAAGCCGAAAGCTTAGATAGGATTAAAAAAATATGTATCAATATTATGATTTTCTTTCTATGTTTAATGATAATATTATTAAGCTTATCAGACGATATGAAAATAATTTACATAAAATAAATAGACAACACTTGTCTATATTATTTAATGAAACATGTGTCAGAGAAAAATGCTGCCTAAATACACAAACACACACACACATACATATATATACATACATATATATATATATATATATATATATATATATATATATATATATATATGTATATATATATATATATATATTACAATGAATCATTCATAGAAAAAATGTAAATTAGTAAAGTTAATGAGATAAAATGGCGAAATCCCTTCGCTAACTAAATTTTAAAGATGCATTAACCCACTAATCACTAGATGAATGTTATGATCCCTATTTTTTTAAAATTATACATTCTATTAGGTTTCCATAAATACGAAAGTACTTTCGACAGTTCGTCCAGTCTCATCAGGCGTGGAAATTATTTTTGTTTTTGGTAAAATTCAGATAAAATCCGAAACGAAAAATATAACGCGAATCGAATTATATATATATATATATATATATATATATATATATATATATATATATATATATATATATATATTTTTTAATGTGTTATTGATAACGGATACAATCTTGTGGAGCGTACAGACGTTGAATTTTTTGAAAATTTAAGTGAGCGCGCATATATATATATATATATATATATATATATATATATATATTAATTTTTATTAAAAACATTGGGAGTATTGATAATAAAAAAGAAAAAGCCAAGATTCAATAATACCACCTATGAACACGGACACAATGCGCTGACCGTTTTTGGAAAATAAAAAACATTCCCATAACTCTAGATACTTACATACAAATCTACACATTCAGTTAGAATTAAAACTAAAATGCTTACTTGATAATGGTTAAAAGAATAGCGATTGAACATACAAAACATGTGGACAATTTCTACACACTTTATGTCCAAAAAGAAAAATATCATAAGAGCACAAGAAAAATTAACTAAAAAGTCTAAACACATTACCTTTTCAGTCATCTTTAATTAAACTTGTATAAAAGAAGGATTGCTGCCCAAATAATATATATCAAGAAAATATGAGTAGAATTCTCGAAAGATCTGGGACAAAAAGAAGGTGTCAGTTTAAATTAACGCCAGGGTGATAAGCGTTCATGAAGACACAGACTTAATTTTGCAGAAATATATATATATATTTTTTTAACATAACCGCCTTCACTTTTAAATATAATCACCTTAGTTCACTGGCGAATATTCATGTTATAGATCGAACGTTATACATTGGAACTTCCAGATCCAAAAACTCATTCAGAAACAACGCGTCAGGTGATCGATGTATTGATCTACTCTAATGTATGCAATAGATTACATACTTTACTGTGTAGAGACTCGGAAAACTTAAGTTGTAAAATGGCGTCTTCCCAAGGCAGCAAAAAAAAAAATTAATAGAATATGAGGTTCTTTATTTTCTGCTTTCAAGAAAAATGTCCGACCGGAAACGCTGAACAGATCGATCAATCTGGAGAAATTGCTCGAATATTTGGAAAGCATTTCGTATTTACATGTAGAGAAATTAGTCAATCTTCCATTAAACATAAAAAAATATGACGACAGTTTTTTGTATTTCACTCTGCTTATTTCAATATAAGATGCTATCAAAAAATTCGGGTAATGTAAGTCAAGAAATGATTTCCTCAAAGAATGTGCAAATTTGATCCCTCAGTAATATGTCGGCTACATGTTAATCAGTGTTGTGTAAGGCGCCAAATTATTCCGGTATGTATAGCCGATTCTTTTGTCAGGTCAGAATTGGTCAGAATTTTGATGAAAATGTATTTGTATCAATACACTCAAATTGCGAAGCTGACGTTTGGATAGATAGATAGATAGATAGATAGATAGATAGATAGATAGATAGATAGATAGATAGATCAGTCTCTTCATTATGTATTTTCGCATATGTTTTAATTATAACTAGATATAAACATAGATAGATAGATAGATAGATAGATAGATAGATAGATATGACCAAAAAGAGATAGATAGATAGATAGATAGATAGATAGATATGACCAAAAAGAGATAGATAGATAGATAGATAGATAGATAGATAGATAGATAGATAGATAGATAGATATGACCAGAAAGAGATAGATAGATAGATAGATAGATAGATAGATAGATAGATAGATATGACCAGAAAGAGATAGATAGATAGATAGATAGATAGATAGATATGAACAGAGTGAGATAGATAGATATGACCAGAAAGAGATAGATAGATAGATAGATAGATAGATAGATAGATAGATAGATAGATAGATAGATGAATGATAGTATAAGTGAATAAGATAAACTAATAGAAATAAACTAATAAAGGAATAAATCAAGGAAAAATAAGTACGATGAGAAACGTAAAATAAAACTCAAAAAATTAAAAGTAAGGAATTCAATGTAATATTTGTCTATGAAACAGCGCAAAGGAATTTTTCCTTCTTTTCGCTATTCGCATCCGAAATATGTTTTTTTTTAAATTTGAATCCATCAGAGATATTTTCCACCACTTTAACATGTCACGAGCTCCAAGACCTCCTATCCCATAATCTGTCCCCAGTTTAAGTTTGGCTTAGTTTTTTTTTTTAATTTTATTTACAACTTCAAGTAGCATTCAGTGGTGATTTAACGAGAAGCCTTAATTAAAAAGATCAATCAATCGACAGATCGATCGATTGAATAATCGATTCTTTTACCCAAGGCATTCGACTCGGCTCGCATTGACGAAGATAAGCAGAACCCCATCGATATTGAGCCATTGATGTCCACTGCGTCGCAGCCTTTCGTTCTTATTGTTATTTTCTACTTTCGCTTTCACTTTAAGATGCTGTTTACGTCATCGAATTCCGTCAGTATTTATATATCCATGTATTACTTCTACTACCACTCTACTTGCATAACAAGGGATGTTTTCTACCCCATTTGTCAGTTAAATATAGACCTAGTATTATACGCATAACAACGTTATTCTTTCTAACATTTTCTAACACGTGCATTAAATCATGACCACTGCTAATCATCCCTTTCTTCCTCATTTGGAATGAATTCCTATAGTAAAATAATTTACAATGCATTTATTTCGTAAATTTCGTTGCAGTTTTATCTTGTAGTAAAATCATTAGCAATTTCTTCATACTATAATGGATGTGTGCATAGCCTAGAGGTTATGAGCGCGGGAAATTAGATTGGCGTGTCGGTGCCGTTGCATTTGCTTTTGCACAAATACACATGGAAATGTATGAAACCATCTGTAACGCCAGCTTGGAGTAATAGCAAGACAAACTGAGCTCTCTTAACCAATCTAGGAGAAGGATAACACTGAATTTTAAGCCCACGGGGAGTGGGTCTGGTATACAGAAAACTTAGCAGCAACGCTTAGCGTTTTCTACCTGTGGTCGATACTTCACGGTGTAGTCTACAGGACTTACATACGCAGTAGGTGACTCACCTTAGATGGTGCCGTATTATACTTTGCGCCCGGCGTCAAACGGAGCAGTCAGGTAAATCAGTGGTTTAAGCTGATGGATAACCTGCTAGGCACCACCAGATGCAGATCCGCGATTTCAGAAAATGTCAATAGCTTCTCTCAACGTATAAACACATAGTCGATGTGACTAGAATTTGCACACATGTACCAAATTTGATGACAGGTAGATATATAAGCACCCACGCGTGAGGGCATGAAGAGAGTCTCTTACGTGCTGGTGAGAACTCTAATGCTTAAAAGTCACTCACCGACAGTAATTGACCAAGTTCAGAGTATTTTTTAATTATTTCACCCCAAGCAAGGCAATAAAGACACCAAGACGCAGTGGGTTACTGAGTGCTACAGAATATAAGGAAAAAATAATATTAAGCAGAGAGAACAATAAATGAATAGGAATTAAGAAGAATAAATTAAGAGTTTATTAAGACAAATTAAAGAATTAATAGTTAAATAAAGGTATAAAAGTTTGGTCTCATGTTTTTATTAGTGTAGTATATACGATAACATTACACATTTTATATTATATTATATTCCCATTCTGCCAGTAACAATTACATTAAATACGAACCAAGGACAATACTCACTTGCCTTCACATTTACAATATATTTATTTAGAAAAATTATATGCAAAGTTTGCTGTGAGACTATAAGCAATGTATTTGAGCAAGTATTTTCCGTACAAATTTTTTTGTAATTTCTAAGTAGAATTTGTTTTCGCAAATTTCGACTCTCAATTTGTTATGTATTGAAATAAAGAACAAAATATACAGAGATATCACGCTGTAACACTAGTTCTTATGCGATCACCGAATTTAAGCAATGTTGGACCTGGTTATTACCTAAATGGGTGACCGCTTGAGAATACCAGGTGCTGTCAGCTTGTGCGGTTGGTGTTATGGATAACGGCTCGGCATTAGAAATCAGAGACCAAGAGCCCCCCCCCCGGAACGAGGGAGCAATACAACATGTGTGTGCGTCATAGCACTATATTTCCGTAGCCTTTGCATCGAATCCTGGCTAATGATAAGCATTTTTTTCTTTATTGATTGATTTGTTTTTACGTCTTATCAACCATTTGCAAGTTATTTAAAGTCAGAAGATATTTTTTAGATTGTAGCAATGTTTTTGAGATAATAACGATTTACTTATACAAATGCTACTAATTAACCCATAGTGGGGGAAAGGGGTGGATTCATAAATTTCCCAGCGGTATTTGCGCGTAAGTGAATATAATGAACCCAACTGGAATTCGGTTCTCCGATTTCCAATGCCGAGCCGTTATCCATAACACCAGCCTCACAAGCTGACAGCACCTGGTATTCTCAAGCGGTCACCCATCTAGGTAATAACCAGGTCCAACTTTGCTTAACCGGTGGTCGCACAAGAACTAGTTTCAGCGTGATATGTCTGTATATTTTGTTCTTTATTTCAATACATAACAAATTGAGAGTCGAAATTTGCGAAAACAAATTCTACTTAGAAATTACGAAAATTTTTTCTACGGAAAATGCTTAGTGCTAAGCATTCAAATAGACTAGTTTAAAAGAAGCCTGACAACCCCCACCCCCGCCTCCACCATACTCAGTTTTTCTAGTTTCGTTTCATTTTCCCCCATTTTCCCTTCACAATTTGTTCTGTCACTATATTGAAGGGAACCGACTGGGTGCCAAGCATTTTGAATAACGTTTGTTGGGTGTGAGGAAATAACATGTTTCATTGATTCACCATTACTCAAAGTTAAAACTGTTAGTCAATAAAAAAATATTGTGGCTTTTTGGCAAGGTGTACGTAACAAACACAAGTAAAAATTAACATTTCACATGTTGGCAGAAACATTAGCGCCTTAGGTTAACTGGTTCTGAGTAGTACAGGTTTTAGTTGTTTTTATTTTTTACTTTTCAAAATTAGATAGAAATGTAACGTTGTATATTATCAACTCTTAAGTTTTAAAAATAATATATGAAATAAAAAAAACAGTTTTCAAATATGACACGGAATCCGTAAAGAAAGGAATTACAAATGAACGATAGTTAAAAAAAAATGACAATGACAAAATCAGTGAAAAAAGGAATGATAAATAAATGAAAGCCAACTAAGAAGACTGATAAAGGATCCGGGAAATTACAGGAAATTACAAATGAATGTCGAATAAAGACAATGACACGATCTATGAAGAAAATAATTAAAAATGAATGACAGCTAAAAACAATGTCATATGATCCGTGAAAAAGAGAATTACAAATGAAGGTCAGCTAAAAACAATGACATACGAATGTCCATGGATAAAAGAATTACAAATGAAGGACATCTAAAACCAAGGAGATACGAGCTGTGAAAAGAAGAATTACAAATGACTGACAGTAAGAAAAAGAATTAAAATAAAAAATGAAGGACACTTAAAAACAATGACATTCAATCGGTGAAAAAAAAAAGAATTACAAATGAAGGACAGCTCAAAAAAATGACACTCGATCCGTGAAAAAAGAATTAAAATTGAAGAACTATTGAAAACAATGACACGTTCCGTGAAAAAATGAATTAAAAAAATGAATGTCAACTAAAAACAATGACATTCGATCTGTGAAATAAAGAATTACAAATGATGGACAGTTGAAAATAATGACATACGATCCATAAAGTAAAAGAATTACAAATGAACGACAACTAAAAATACAATGTCATACGATCCGTAGAGAAAGGAATTTATTTGAATGAAGGCCACCTTAAAACAATGCTACACAATCCGTGATGAAAGTAAGTAAAAATGAAGGGTAGTTAAAAATCTGATATTTTTGAAAAATTTCCATCGCCAGTACCCGCTTATTCCAATCTCCCGTTTTAAATCGAAAATATGTATTCATATCATCATCATTATCATCATCATTAGAACTATTTTATCTTGAAGCCACATTGTCAATCAATGTGATTTCTGTTCATCGGCACAAGTTGCTCGTTCCCAAATATACATCTGCACAAACCCAACCTGTACTGCAACTATGCTTATTGGATTTTAGTTATATTTTAATATTTAATATTTAACATTTTCAACTATGTTCTTCACATACGGTTTAGAAATTAGTGTTCTCCTTCTCCTATACTGTTTATGGAGCGCGGCTAGAGAGTGCAGTCTTCCCTGTTATTTAACCCATAGCTAAAGGGAGACGAGATGGATTCCTACATTTCCTAAGGTTATTTATTTTTACGATCTGTCCCGGAATTCGAACTCGTTTTCTTCCGAGCCTCTAAACATTACACCACCTGCACATCCGATTCAACGACAATCAGCATTAAGATATAGCAATGATTATCGCTTCATTTTCCCCATTTTACCGCCAGAATCTGCTGTATATGTAATTATTATGGAGACTAAAAGTTTCGATCTTCATCGAATGAATGTTCAATTTTAAAGAACGATAAGCGTTAGTCTGGACAATAAATACTTTCGATAAATAGAGAAATAACCGTTTGGTTAATTCTCGAAAATTACTCGCTAAATTTATACTTCCCCGGCATATGCCAGGAAGTTTCAAAAAAATTATGCCAATACCCCAGGCAAGAAGAGAGTTCTAAAAGCGAGAATTACAGAATCTATTTTGAAAGTGAAGAAAAAGCCCAAAAGCGCCCATCATACTCTCCGATCACTTACTGACCGCAGCGTCAGTTCTCTCTACCCTTTCACCAGAAAGCGGGACAGGCTAGTCAACTCCACCAAAGAATTAATCAGGACAACTGCATACTACAAAGGTCTCTCTCTCTCTCTCTCTCTCTCTCTCTCTCTCTCTCTCTCTCTCTCTCTCTGTTATAAAAAAGGAGGGGGTCTCAGTCTCACTCTCTCTTCCTTTCCTATAAAGAACGAGGGACCTCACTTTCACTCTCTCTCTCTCTCTCTGTTATAAAGAAGGAGGGGGTCTCACTCTCTCTTCCTTTCCTCTAAAGAACGAGAGACCTCACTCTCTCTTTCTCTCTCTCTCTCTCTCTCTCTCTGTTATAAAGAAGGAGGGGGTCTCACTCTCACTCTCTCTTCCTTTCCTATAAAGAACGATGGACCTCACATTCACTCTCTCTCTCTCTCTCTCTGTTATAAAGAAGGAGGGGGTCTCACTCTCACTCACTCTTCCTTTCCTATAAAGAACGAGGGGCCCCACTTTCACTCTCTCTCTCTCTCTCTCTTTCTCTCTCTGTTATAAAGAAGAAGGGGTCTCACTCTCACTCTCTCCTATAAATAAAGTAATAAATGTTCCATAGAATTTAGTTGTTAAATACCAGTGTATTTGCATTAAATTAGTTTTACTTCAAAATAAATCATATACATTTACTATTTCTGCAATCAGTCAGTCAGCTGTGTGCTATGCGTGATACACGCGTAGGCGATCATGCATCTTTCGATACATGACTGACGAGGCAGATTTTTTTTCCACTCAGTAGGTTGCCATTTCTTTCTACGGTAGACCAGTTGCCATAAAACACAGTCTGTCCTGCTATTTACCCATAGATAAGGTGGGGGAAGAGGATTCATACTTTCCCAAGGGTATTAGCACGTAATTAAATGTCATGGATTCGACTGGAATACGAACTCGGCTCTCAGATTCATCAATCCGAACCGCTATCCATTACTTCTAAACTTATCTATTAGTAAAAAATAAAATAAGCTTCTTTTTTTTTTTTTTTTTTTTTTTTCATCGAATGATTATGGTGTCCACTCACAAAAATTAAGAGTAAAAGTGATCCATGGATAAACAAAAAAAAAAAGAAGGGTAAAAACCACTGATCTAGCACAATGGGGTAGACTGGTCTCCATGGTTAGATATGCAGCCGGTGCGGTGGTAACCCGGCATCATTGGGTGGAGAACAGTGTGAATTACGTCTACCGGCATGTGCATTCAAAAAGAATTTATTAGTTTGCTTAACTAGTATATTCACTTGTGTTGTAGGAATATATATATATATATATATATATATGTGTGTGTGTGTGTGTGTGTGTGTGTGTGTGTGTTTAATCATTTCACCCTAACCAAGGCGGTAATGCCACTAAAACGCAGGCGGTTATAGGGAGCAAAAAACTGAAAGAAAATAAGAAGACTGAGAATAGGGAGGATTGAGGGAAGGACAAAAAAATGACAAGGTTTAAGAAGATAAAAGACGGCGATTGATGACATTTAAATTTTTGAAGTTTGTAGTTACCAGGGAAACAAGAAAACGGAAAGGAGTTCCACAGTTGGGAAGTGCGAGAAAAGAAACTCTTGGAGTAGAAGTGACGGTTGCATGTAGCTATTTCAATAATAACACGGTGATACCTAGTAGCACGCTTAAATTCATGTAGTCGGGGCAGCAGGGGGGGGAGATCGTCAAAGCAGTTGCTATCGATATATTTGGAGAAAAGACAGAGGGAAGCCCCGTCAAATCGGTGAGAAAGTGATTGATGTGGAGATATCTGGTCAGGGTTCATTACATTAAAGATCTTTGTTTGGATTTTGTCAAGAATATTGAGATGTACAGCAGGAGCATCAGACCAGATATGACAACAGTATTTTCAATGCACGGACGGATGGTAGATTTATAAATGTGCAAGATGGATTCCAAGGAGAAAACGTTACTGACACGACACAGTGAACCAACTTTCTTAGCAGAAGACGAAATAATTGATTCGATATACTCACTCCACTTCATGTCTGTGGAAAACGTGAGGCCAAGAGGACGCAGCATGTTGCTTTACTGGTGTTTAACATCAGCCATTCTGATGGCAGGTAGAAAAGATTCGATAGGCCGATGAAGATGTATTATTGTGGTAACATAAGTTTGTTTTGGGTTTTTAAAGGAGATAGTATATTGTATTGTATGCGATGTAACATGTACGGTAGAGTTAAAAAGTGTCCCCGTA